ATTTTTAATCCTAATTTCTAAGTTTGAATTTGTAATTTATAATTATAAGTAATAAAAAATGTTGAAATTTAATTAATATTTCAATGTCTCATTATTTTATTATATTTCATAGTGATTATTGTATAGGCCACAAATCGTCATGGCCCTTATCAAACCCAAACAAGAAACATCTACTACGTGGCCCAGTGCTATAGCCTAATTATGGTTGGGCCTACTCTAATATGCATGCCATAGGCCAGCTTATTACACCAATCAATTTTCTCATGGGTTGGATCATCCAAATTGGGCTTCCCCATTAGTCCACTTGGGCCTAGGCCCATTGCTTCGAGATCACTCCAAGGAACTCAGAGTTCCATTCATATCCTAATTCATCTACTTCTTGTTTCATCTACATTTTAATTCATCTAAGATCTTGAATCTTGCATGAATTAAGACTCATACTCTAAATGCAAGCAAATCAGGATTTTCTTTTTTACCAAAACTCTGCCATTATGAACTTAGAGTTCTACTAGGATTTGAAGATCCTATATTCATTATATAAACAGTGGTCTGACCTCTCATTAAGCATCTATTATTTAATATCATCTACTAGCTCCTAAAGTTTTTGCTTCTAATTACTAACACCTTTGCCATAGCTCTAATCTCTAATTAGACTTCGGTAGCGGAGTACTTACAGCAGACACCACACCAGTGTTTCCTGTGAGCTTCACACTTGTTTATTTGTGTGTACAGGTTTAACAGATCGTCAGTTGCCTCAACCTTACATGATCAGTTTGTTTTGTAACCGTAGATTTTTACCGTCTACAATTATATTTTTTTTTAATTAATACAAATACAAAATATCACTAAATATAACATATAAAAATATTTTATAATAATTATTAATAATACAAACACAAAATGTCACTAAATATAACATATATATATATACAGGGGTGGACCCAGGCCCCTTGAGGGTAGGCCCAGGCCTGCCCTCAGATTTTAAAAAAAAATTGCAAAGTTTTTTTTGATTTTTTTTGGAAGATTAAAAAATAAAATAAAAGGTTAAAAACTGAAAAGTTAGCTTTCGTCTTTTCCTTATTCAGCTTTTTCTACCCCAGTTCCCAACTCCCTTTTTACATGCGGCTGAAGCTCAACCTAGAAATTAAAAAAATCCCCCTTTTCAACTTCTCTCATCTGCGTGACTGCGGCTGTTGAAGCCCCTGAACTCTGAAGGTTAGTAATTGGTATTTCCTTATTTAATGACATACTACCTGCTTTTTAAGAATTACTTAATTTTATTGATTTAATCTCAATTAATAAATGATTGTTGCTGCTTAATATCATTGATTATTTAAGATGAGTGCTAAATTAACCGCGTACTTTATTTGAGGCATCTTTCATATAAATAAAAGATTTTATTAATTTTAAATATAAATAACACAATTTTTATTCAAATCAATAGACCTTTAAATTTAATGAAGATTTCTATTTTTAAAGAAAGAGACTTAATGGAGAGAATTAATAATAATAATAAATGCATAGAACTTGTAGTTTATTAATCAAATTAGATAGAGATAAATAAATTTGACTCTCTAAATGTGGTCAAACTCACTCTCTAATTATATTTAAAAATAAAGAGTCTATTGACTCTTGTTTTTACGGATAGACTCCTTAAATAAAGAGTTTGGGTATAAAGAGTCTTTGAGATGTCTAAGTTGTTTTTTTTTTTTTTTTTTTAAGAATTGTGTTTTTCTTTTATTTTTTTTTTAATATGAAAAAAAAAAAAAAATTTATACTTGTCCGAATACAATATTTAAAACTTGTCTAAAAAATATTTAAAAATGAAAATGAATAAGTATTTGAGTTAGTAATCAATAACCCCCTAAATTACTAGGGTGTGTTTTTTCGGAAATGTTTTTTGCTGAAAAGGTAGATTACTAGTAAGATAGATTACTTTGAAGATTATGGGGGAATTTTATCATATGTTTGGATAATTAGTGGTATAAATATTAAAATGTTTGGTAGGGAAGAATAAAATATTATCGACAAAAGCTTTTATTGAATTGTCATTCCTTTTTAATATCATAAATTATTATTATTATTAATAAATTACTATTAACCCATATTTGGAATTTACCCAACAACAAAGTTTAAATTTATAAAATACCCCCAGCAACCCAAGACCACGAGACCGCGTCGCCACCACCCAGCTATTGCGGCAGTCACCAAAACGGCACTGATCGACGAGATTTGGCCGTTGTGCACTATTTTGGCTGTTTCTAGCCAAATCGAAGGCTAAAAACAATTAAATCACCGTGGATCTACCGAAACCAGATCCACACCAATCTGCTATTTTAACTAGATCCACGCCAATCTGGCTGTTTCAATCAGATTGAAGGCCAAAAACGTAATTGCCGGGATCTAGCCAAAATGGCTAGATTATTCTGCATTTTCGACCAGATCCACGGCGATTGTCATTTTCGGCCTTCGATATGGTCGAAAACAAACGATCACACACGACCGGTTGCCAGTTGTGTGTCGATTTGGCATATTGCCTTGGCTGGCTGGGTCTTTGATGCTGGGTATTTTGTTAACTTTTAACTTTTTGTGCTGGGGTGTTTAGCTAAATCTCAAATATAGGGGTTGGGTAATGGTTATTTGTAGACATTGAGGGCAATCAGTCCAAAATGGCTTTATTTAAGGGCAAATTTGGTAAAAAAAAAAAAGATAACCCTAGTAAAAAAAAAGATTAACACCTTTGGACTAGGTAATCTGATAACCCCCAAAATCACTAACAATATTCCTATTGGAAATGAACATTTTGTAATCTTATATTATGTCAAACCAAACAAGAATGTCTGAATCAAAGATAGATAACATGGATTTATCTACCCACACCCTACAATAATTATTATTGCATTTAAAGATTACCAGAATCTTTATACTTTACAACCAAACATGGTAATGGCGGATTAAAAATGATTACCAAAGTAATCTTTTATTACCTCAACCAAACGCACCCTAAAGGTAGTTTTTGATGATTTTATAGAATACATTCTATGCTATATGAGTGAAAATACGGTAGTTATTTTTATCATTGGCTTTATAATTAAAAGTGGAAAGAGATTATTTAATATATAGAGATTGTTGGTGGCCATTTTTGTCAAGGGACCCAATTAGCTAATCAATGCCTAACACTCAATTAAGGTTCTATTTAAGGTACAAAGTTATAACTTAAGTTTATAAATTGTGTTTTGAGCCCGATCACTACTTTGGTTTTGAATCCCAATACAGCCTATGACATTTCCATATATAAGGTCATGGCATCAAGCAAAACGATAAGCCTCTTACATTCTTTGACAAGGTGATCAATGACCACCTATCAGTTGGCTATCAATCATTAAAGACAAAACAAAACCCATAAATAGGTGGCCGATTGAATATCAATCATTAAAAACAAAATTCACAAATCAATTGATATTGGATAATTGTTGCTAATTGCAATTCCACCAAATAATAGGTTGTCAGTGATCAATAACCACCTATAAGAATTAAGAACCTATAAGAATGATATCAACCGATACAAACCAATAGTTTGTTATCGGGCAATTTCTACAAGAAAACCCGATAGTCACACACCACCATTAACACCTCCTCCCACCGTATAAACTCCATTAATCCTGACAAACTTCATACAAAAAAACTCCAATCAAAACAACACAGACCAAAATCTAAATCGGAAACACTAAATCTAACCCAATATGTAAATCCTAAACACAAAATCTAATATCTAAACCTTGAACCCAAGCACAAACCTTCCATAAACCAATTCATCAACCAAAAGTTTCTCAGACTACTGGTTATGGAATTGCAATGGAGGGGATGGAGTGTTTTGGTTGAAGACAAAGAGTTGGGGAAATGGGTTAGAAAAAAATGGGGTTATATATGAGGATAATTTGGTAATCATGGGATGTCAAAAACTAAGGTTGGGCTAGTTTATGAAATACTTTCAAAAAGGGGTTATTTTTCAACTGAGAACCTAAAAAGGGTTTTTTAATGTAATTTTCCTATATTTTTTTATAATAGATTATGAAAGGAATTAGGAAAATCGGAGGCTACTAAAAGTCGCCATAATGGCGTACGATCAACCATATATGGCTAGTTGTGTGCTAGTGAGGCCTTTTCTGACCATGGATCATAGATCCATGGTCGGAAAAGGCCAAATCTGGCGGTTTCATGACCAAATCTATGGTCGTTTCACAGCCAAAGACCTGGCCATTTCACAACCACATCTATGGTCGTGAAACAGCCATATCTGTGGCACTGACAATGGCCACCAGTGGTGGTGGCTAGTTGCCGACAATGGCTTGGGGCGGGTAGGGGTGTTTTTGTTAAGTTTAAAACGTTTTTGGTTGCTAAGGTGTTTTTGCTAAACCTGAAAAATAGAGGGTTAAAAGAAATTATTCAAAAAATAAAAATAAAAATATTGTTATATTAATATTTAAAAAGGAGGATAATTTAGTAATCTATATAACATACCCACCAATTTATCCTCCCAACCAAACATATTATTTATCAATTTATTCGAACCAACAAAACACAATTTTTAAACATTCCTAGTAATCTTCAAGGTGATTTTTTTATTCCATTAATATAATATCCTCTTATAATAAAATATTATATGATCCAAACGTCCTCGTAGTGTGAAAATATTTTTATTAATTACTATAGTGCCAACTACATGTCCACATTTCGTTGTAAATTAGCTAAAGTAGTTAGAGAGATTCTTTTTTGTGAGAGATTTTTTTTGTGAATGTACAAGATTGATGAAATCCAAATAAAAGAGTTATTGCAAGATTTAGGTCATTAGAATTTACTACTAATTAATGGAAAAGATTTGTTGGTGAATCTTCCTTTCAACTAGAGAGAATCACATTTTCAGTTCTATCTTGCCCATTGAAAACCTGCACATTTGCTCATTTTATACCCAGAATTTTCCTTCGTAGAATCTAAATGCAATGTCTGGCAAAGTTTTCCTTGCCAACTTGTTCCTTCTTTTGCTACTTGTTTCTGGTTAGTCTATAATTCGTCTTATTGCATTGCGATAGCCTTAATTATGAGTTTGAAGTTAATGTATCATTTCAAATTTCAATCTTTTTTCTTTTTCAGGTGGACACTCGGATATAATCTTGCATATAAACAATGAATGCACATTCACACTGTGGCTCGGTGCGAATCCGTCCATGGGTGACTTTAATTCAGAGAATGGACCAGGCACCCTGGAAATATTTTCCCTCTCTGAGCCATGGAGTGGAAGCATTTGGGCACGAACCAAATGCGGCATGAATGCCTCCAATCTCTTTTCTTGCGAGACAGGTGATTGCAGTTCCGGCGAAATTGTATGCCAAGGTCTGCAACCCAAATATCCCGTCACCTTACTCAATTTAAGTGTCAGTCAATCAGTGGTCTCCTACGAGGTGAGTTTGAACCACGGCTTCAATATTCCGATTCGGATTCAACCAATCGGTGGATCTTTAGTGGATGGTTCCGGACCATGTCCCGTCGTGGACTGCATTCAGGACTTGGGTAATGTCTGTCCTGCTGAATTGGTGGCTAAAAACCAAAATGGGGCGTATGTTGGTTGTTACAGTGCCTGTGATTCGTTGAAGGATCCAAAATTTTGCTGCACCGGTTCGTTTACTGGACAAGCTTGCCAACCTAATGACTATTCTCAAAGATTTAAACAACTTTGCAATTTGGCTCACACCTACCCAACGGATAATGATCCTCCCACTTACAGATGTAGTGGGGCTGCTAAATATGAAATAACTTTTTGTGCATTCTAATAATAATTAATTAATACCCGTCTATTAGTTTTTTTATGATTTAATCTCAATTAATAAATGAGTTTTGTTGTTGCTTAATATCATTGATTATTTAAGAGTGTTACATTAAGATCATCTCCAATGGTGCTGTTAATTTTTTAAGAACATCTTTCATATAAATAAAAAGTATTTTCATTAATTTTTAAATATAAATAATACAATTTTTATTCAAATCCAATAGACCCTTTAAATTTAATGAAGATTTTCTTTATTTTTAAGAAAGTGACTTAATGGGAGAGAGAATTAATAAATAAAATGCATAGAAACTTGTAGTTTATTAATCAAAATTAGGATAGAGAATAAAATTTGACTCTCTAAATATGGTCAAACTCACTCTCTAATTTATATTTAAAAAATAAAGAGTCTGTTAGACTCTTGTTTTTACGGATAGACTCCTTATAATAAAGAGTTTGGGTTATATAAAGAGTCATTTGGAGATGCTCTAAGATTGTTTTTTTTTTTTTTTTCTTTTAACGAATTGTGTTTTTCTTTTATGTTTTTTTAAAAATATTGAAAAATCAAAAAAAAAAAATTTATACTTGTCCGAATACAATATTTAAAACTTGTCTAAAAAATATTTAAAAATGCAAAATGAAAATAAGTATCTGAGTTAGTAATCAGATAACCCCCTAAATTACTTAGGGTGTGTTTGGTTCGGAAAATGTTTTATCGCTGAAAATGTAGGATTACTAGTGAGATAGATTACCTTGAAGATTATTGGAGAATGTTATATCAATATGTTTGGATAAATTAGTGGGTATAAATAATTAAAATGTTTAGTTGGGAAGAATAAAATATTATCGACAAAAGCTTTTATTGAATTGTCATTCCTTTTTAATATCATTATATTATTATTATTATTTAAATAAATTACTATTAACCCCCATATTTGAGAATTTACCCAACAACAAAGTTTAAATTTTAACAAAATACCCCCAGCAACCCAAGACCACCGAAGACCGTCGGCCACCACCTCCAGCTATTGGCGGCAGTCACCGAAACGGCACATGACTGACGAGATTTGGCCGGTTGTGCACTATTTTGGCTGTTTCTAGCCAAATCGAAGGCTAAAAACAATTAAATCACCGTGGATCTAGCCGAACAGATCCACACCAATCTGGCTATTTTCAACTAGATCCACGCCAATCTGGCTGTTTCCAATCAGATTGAAGGCCAAAAACAATTAGACTATCGTGGATCTAGCCAAAAATGGCTAGATTTATTCTGGCCATTTTCGACCAGATCCACGGCAATTTGCCATTTTCGGTCTTCGATATGGTCGAAAACAACCAGATCGGCACACGATCGGTTGCCAGTTGTGCGTCGATTTGGCTATTATTGCCAGTGGCTGGCGGTGGTCTTTGATGGCTGGGGTATTTTGTTAACTTTTAAACTTTTTGTGGCTGGGGTGTTTTAGCTAAATTCTCAAATGTAGGGGTATGGGTAATTGTTATTTGGTAGACATTTGAGGGCAATCAGTCCAAAATGGCTTTTATTTAAGGGCAAATTTGGTAAAAAAAAGATAACCCTAGTAAAAAAAGATTAATACGGTAATACCCTTGGACTAGGTAATCTGATAACCCCCAAAATCACTAACAATATTCACTATTGGGAATGAAACATTCCTGTAATCTTATATTATTGTCAAACCAAACAAAGGAATGTCTGGAATCAAAGATAGATAACATGATTTATCTACCCACAACCCTACAATAATTACTATTGGCATTTGAAGATTACCAGAATCCTTTATTACTTGACAACCAAACATGGTAATGGCTGAATTAAAAAATAGATTACCGAAGTAATCTTTCATTACCTCAAACCAAACGCACCCTAAAGGTAGTTTTTGATGATTTTATAGATAATACAATTCTATATGATAATGAGTGAAAATATAACGGTAGTTTTTATTTTTATCATTGGCTTATATAATTAAAAGTGGAAAGAGATTATTTAATATATAGAGACACTTTGACATGTAAGCCCGAGACACTTTGACATTCTTTAATATATAAGCCCAAGACACTTTGACATTACCCTTGGTATTCGCTGACATGTAAGCCCATTGTACTTTGACATTCTCCAACATGTAAGCCGATACAATTCTAAAAGTCCATAAAATTTGCTGACAGCATTCTTTTATATGTAAGCCCAATACAATTCTAAAAGCCCTTAGCATTTGCTGACCTATGAGCCCAAGGCACTTTGACATGTAAAGCATGTAAGTCCAAGGCATCCTTCCTAGCATTCTGTGACTTATAAGCCCAATAGTATTCTTAAAAAACCACTGGCATTTGCCAACATGTAGCTCAAGGCATTCTTTCATACGAGCCCATAACACTCCTTACAAATTCTTTCAAAAAGGGGTTATTTTTCAATTGAGAACCTAAAAAGGGTTATTTAATGTAATTTTCCTATATTTTTTTACAATAGATTATGAAAGGAATTAGGGAAATAAAAATATTATTTTAATTATTTGTTATGTTTGAAAAAATCAAACTTTTTTAAAGTGTTTTTTTGGTTGATTGTAATATAAGTTTTGATACTAAATTACTATTAAATTATATATATATATATATATATTGGTTGTCTAAGGAAATATATTTTTCTTATAAAGGCTGTTTGGATTGGGTTAATATTAGATAACTGGAGTAATATTTTTTAGATTGAGTAAATGACGATGTTTGGTTGGTTTGTAAAAAATTATTCTCATAATATTTTATGACAAACAGTAGCATTTGGGGGGTATATTATCGGGAATCTTAATTGGGGAGGGGGGAACTTACCATGGTAATATAATTTTGTTTTCTATGTTGCCCCTAAACAATTGAGCATTTGGTCCAAATTAACCTTATATTTGTTAACATTTACAAAACACCCAATTCACTCATGCAAACACTTTTGTACTCACTTTTTAAATTTTTTGGACAACATTGCCCTTGTATTGTCATTATTTACAGAAATGTCACTATACCCAGAACTAGCCACCACTGCCAGCCACCGTCGACCACCATTGGAGGTTGCCAAAAGTAGCCATAATCCATGGTCAGAAAAGCCCGGATCTGGTTGTTTCACGACCAGACCAATGGTCGTTTCATAACCAGAGATGTGGCTATGAAACAGCGACTGATCTGGCCGTGAAATGGCCAGATCTGTGGCATTGCTAGTGGCCACCAACGATGGTGGTTGGCTACCGATAATGGCTTAGGGTGGATAAGGGTGTTTTTGTTAAGTTTAAAATATTTTTTGTTGTTAAGGTGTTTTTGCTAAATCTGAAAAGTAGGGGGTTAAAAGAAATTATTCAAAAAATAATAATAAAAAATATTGTTATATTAATATTTAAAAAAGAAGGCAATTTAGTAATCTATATAACATACCCACCCATTTATCCTCCCAATCAAACATATTAATGTTAATTTTTAATCCTAATTTCTAAGTTTGTAATTGTAATTTATAATTATAAGTAATAAAAAGTGTTAAAATTCAATTAATATTTCAATGTCTCATTATTTTATTATATTTCATAGTGATTATTGCATGGGTCACAAATCGTTGTAGGCCTTGTCAAGTCCAAACGAGAAACATCTACTACGTGGCCTAGTGCTGTAGCCTAATTCCGGTTGGGCCTACTCTAAGATGCATGTCATAGGCCAGCTTATTACACCAATCAATTTTCTCATGGGTTGGATCATCCAAATTAGGCTTCCCCATTAGTCCACTTGGGCCCTGGCCCATTGCTTCGAGATCACTTCAAGGAACCCAGAATTCCATTCATATCCTAATTCATCTACTTCTTATTTCATCTACATTCTAATTTATCTAAGATCTTGAATCTTGCATGAATTATGACTCCTACTCCTCCAAAGGCAAGTAAATCAGGATTTTCCTTTTTACCAAAACTCAGCCATTATGAACTTAGAGTTCTACTAGGATTCGAAGATCCTATATTTATTATATAAACAGAGGTTTGACCTCTCATTAAGCATCCGTTATTCAATACCATCTACTAACTCCTAATTACTGACACCTTTGCCGTAGCTCTAATCTCCAATTAGACTTCGATAGCGGAGTACCTACGACAAACACCACACCAATGTTTCCCGTGAGCTTCACATTTGTTTCTTTGTATGTACAGGTTTAGCAGATCGTGATCAGTAGCCTCAACCTTACATGATCAGTCTGTTTCGTAACCGTAGATTTTTACCGTTTATAATTATATATTTTTTTTTAATTAATACAAATACAAAATATCACTAAATATAACATATAAAAATATTTTATAATAATTATTAATAATACAAATCCAAAATGTCACTATATATATATATATATATATTAAAATTATATATTATATTTAGCGAGTCTCGTGTGCTAGATCGCATGCTTTTTCTAAGGCCCCAGCACGACTCGCATTATCATGGGCCTTGGCACGACACAAAAAAATTTCGCGCCATGCCAAGCTTTTTAAGGTGGGCAATGCTGGTAGGGGTGTTCAAAAGCGGTTAACCGAACCGTTAACGCTTTTTGAACCGAACGGTTTTCCCTTTTTTTATAAAACTTATTTTTCTCAATTAAATGTAAATATAAATAAATATCCAAATAAAAATTAGACATTCATAATATCCATTGACCACTAAATAATACATTAAAATATTTTTATTTTTTATTTAATATGTAATATATAATATTATTATTATTTATTTAATATATAATATTTATTTTTATTTAATATATATATATATATATATATTTTGTAAAACCGGTTCAAAATCCGGTTTCGGTTAACCGCTTTTTATTTTTTCCCGAACCGGAAATTCGGTTTTTTAAATTTTTCGAACCGTAACCGAATATATATATATATATATATTTTGTAAAACCGGTTCAAAAACCGGTTTCGGTTAACCGCTTTTTATTTTTTCCCGAACCGGAAATTCGGTTTTTTAAATTTTTCGAACCGT